CATTTGAACCAAGCTCTCTCTCTCTCTCTCTCTCTCTCTCTCTCTCTCTATATATATATATATATATATATATATATATATTTGTATCTAGTTTAGGTTGCCATTTGTTGGGCAAACGTTAGGATTGTTTTAGTTGGAAACGTCCCATTTACAACCGTTGTCGAAATTGACTGGTAGTAACTTTTAAACCACAGGTACCTATTCAAACAATCTCACCAAAAAGTACGGGGAGGATCCCCCAGCCTATCCCTTAGTTGATACCGACTTGTGGAATGAGGCGGTTGTGGGATCCAAGAAAGGTCATCTATTTGGGTTCGGGTACAATCAAGATCCCAATTTGGTCTTGCCGGGACATCCTCACAAGCAAATTCGAGTGAATCTTCTTCTGTAGATAATCAGGTGTGTACCTCTTTATCCTTTGATGTTTATCTATATCATTTATACTTCTTATTGAAAATTTTAGTGTTTTATTATATTTGTAGTTAATGAACAACTTACAGTCCCAAATTCAAGAAATGCGTACTCGAGATGAGATTCGACAAAAGGAGGTTGATTAAATTCTCTGCCGAGAAGAGATCCGAAAGAGGGAAAATGAGATCTGGAAGAAAGAGTATGCAGACATGATGGATGTTGTGAAGAGGTTTACACAATCTCAACAATTTCCGTCGACTCCGCTGCAATAGATTTGATATACGTATTTATGAACTAGTGTCACCAATCGTACTTTAATTTTGTTGAAGAATTTGTATTTGTATATTATTTCGTCCGGATAATCATATTAGGTATTTATGAAAGATTTTTGGATTGTATATTTGTATTTAGTTTACATGATCTTTGTATTTTAGGATTTTAGATTAATAGGTTTTTTGGTTTTTTTTCTATAACAACTACATTTTCGACGGATTTTTGGCGGAAAATCCGTCAATAAATAATTAAATTTAAGCTTTATTATTGAAAATAAATTTTCTGACGGATTGTCTGATGGAATATCCATCGGTTAATATTTTCATTTATTAAAAATAAAAAACATTTCATATTTTAAATAAGAAAAACATTTTTTTGAATATAATTAGCGACGGAAATTCTGACAGAAATCGATTGGAAATTTGTATTTTTATTTTTGAAAATAAAACAGGTTATTATTTTGAATAAAAGTTAAAAAAAAAAAAAAGGAAATCAAATTACCGACGGATTGTCCGACGAAAATTCCGTCGGTAACACTAATCACATTTTCTAAAGTTTCGAATTAACTCGGAAAAACGTATAAAATATTATTAAACTGTTCGACGGATTTCTGGCAGTCTTTTTTCGCCGAAAAATACCAATCCGTCAGAAACTCCGCCGGAAATTGCATTTAGCGGCGGAGTTTTTCCGATGGCGATATCCCTTTGAAATTCGACGGAAACTTGTTTTTCCGACGGATTTCCGAGGGATATTGCCGTCGGAGAAAACCCCATTTCTTAGTAGTGCCAATGCCCAGTTTAATGGGTGTTGCTCCAGTAATCGATTAAGCAGTTCCCTTTTCATTTTCTAACCGGTCCTCTATAAAACTGTAAGGTCCATTTTGGAGTATGGGATGTTAGTTTGGTTTGTTACACTTAAAAGGATGCATGACCCCGAAATGGGTGACCGGCTCTGTGTGACATGGGAGCATGACCCCGTAATAGATTTGGCTATAGGTGAGTCGTACTCACCATGGGATGCTTGCAGCTTATCAATTCCTACTCGTTGAGACAATTATGAGGTTTCGTTTATTCAAGTGTTAGATGTTTTCAGAAAATACATACTATTTTATACAAAGTTTGCATATTTGGTATGTGTGACAAGATATGATATCACTTATGCAAATCATGAACTCACCGACCTTTAAAAGCCGACTATAGTATGCATCTCAGGGCCAGGTAATTCGAGGTTGGATAAGGGCAAAGGACGCGCTTAGAGACTTGTATGTTCTTATCTTAAATTCAATCTTTTGTTTAGATGTTTATGTATGGATTAGTTGTAACTTAACCTGGTATAGGACGGGTTAGTTTTTAATTTACATGTTTATGTATTTTGAAGACTTCCGCTGCAAAAGGGTTTAAGATTTTAATTTGTCCGTCATTTTGGAGCATTTTTGGAGAATTTGTTTTAGATTGTGTAACATTTCTCATGATGAATTGAGAGTGTTACATCTCACCTCTGTATTCTCTCTTATGATCGTACTCATAAAGTCTCTTGACAAATTTCTTCTGAAACTCTTTGGTAATCAGTGCCAAAGAACGTGTGAATGCACTAAGATCATCATCAGAGTCAGAAGATTCTGGCTTTAAATCACTTTGAATATTCAAGGCCTTACTCTTCCCTTTCTCCTTCACCATTTCTCTTTATGAATTGTTCTTCGAGCTTTCTTTCTCCTTTGATACAAGAGCCAGAGGACCACCCAGAAATACCTTATTTTTTGTTAATTGCCTATTCCCGTACGACCAAAATTCCATAAACATCATGCAAAGACCAACCATTCAGATCGTGGTCACCTTGTAGACACATTTCTAACTCTGTCCATTCATTGTCCAAGCTTCTAAGAAACATATATTGTTTCTATTCTCTAGTTTTGATGATGTCGTTTCTTTTGTATTGGTTAATCAAGGTGTTGAAATAATCATATGTCTTCTGTATGGTCTCATCTGGTAACACCTTGAAGTTGGTGTAGTCATTTAGGCATTGTGCACACCTATTCTTTTTTGTCTTCGCACCTCTTTCAAGTTGGCTCGCAAGCTCATCCCAAATTTCTTTTGCAGTGTTACATGAATCAAGACGTTGAAAAATCTCGTTGAGAATGGCTATGATAAGCAATCATTTGGCCTTGCGATCCACCTCCACGTTTGCAATTTCTTCATTATCCTAATTTGCTTCATCCTTAGGGATATAATAAGCAGGGATTTCAGTGGTGTTTTCCACAGCAGGAACACGAGGAACAAGGGTTTGTGGGATAAAAAGACCATTCGAGACAAATTTATACAATTTACCGTCCATCCCTTCGAAAAAGTTAACCATTCGGATTTTCCATTAGGCACATTCATCTCTTTGAAGAGTAGGACGTTTGGTGAGAAACAGATTCAAAAGATTGAATTGATCGTTTGATTTTAAACAAATCAATTTGCTCTGATACCGATTGTTGTTTCTAGATTTCTCAATTAGATCTAAAACAATTAAGAGTCTGAGCAGAAGCAAGTAGATCTAAACAGGGTATATGCAATTAAGATGATCGTTTGATTTTAAACAAATCAATCTTCTTCGATACCAATTGTTGTTTCCAGATTTCTCATTAGATCTAAAATAGTGAAGAGTCTGAGTGGAAACAAGTAGATCTAAACAAGATACAAGCAAAATTAAGATGAAGAACAATAATATAAGATCACAAATCTATTTGGAGCACCGTCATCATCATGTGTATTGATAAGAAGATCTGAATTACACTTTACAAGATTGATGGTTAGTACAATTGCTTAGCTAAAGTGTTTCAAATCCTTTTATGACCGGTAAAACATGATTCAAATGAACTATACAAACACTCCTATTTATACCCTATAAATGGAAAGTCAAAGCATATACCGCTGGAAAGCTTCCACGTGTAAAGGTGCTTCAACATACTTTAGGCGGGCACGAGTGAGCTCCATACGTATTCAAATGCATAAGAGATTATACCAGAAGTAGGTCCAGAGTGTTAGCCGAGGGCTCTGGTTCGCCATGTTGTATTTTCTGGTCACGGCCTCTGGTGCTTTATAAGGCAGGTTCTGAACTCCAACAGTAATTGGAGCTTTTTCATACTTTTACATATTAGAGTGATGGATTCTAACATTGTTGCTTCCTTTTGTAGTGAATCGATCGATCTCATTAACCCATTGCATGACATCAATTAAGGGTTGCTTTAACACATGGTAACCCTGTGTGGAGCAACCAATTGACAGCCGAACAGGTTCAACAATTCACGACAAAGTGCCCGTTTAGCAAGTACAAAAGCATTAGCTTGCACAATCTTCCCCATCCCCATTTCATCAACCAGGATACGCCATCTTGAAGTAGATTCTTGCGTGGCCAAATGAACTGGAAAATGGAAGCTGATACTGATTCCTGACTCCATGTCCTCAAACAAGAATTCTGTGGATGCAAGATTGGCCTCTGAACGAGCGTCATGTTAATCAGAACGCAAGCCTTGTGACTCGTGGATTTAGATACAATTTCAAAGCTTCTCTAAAGGTTAGTCAACTTTTTTAAAGAGCTTCTCTAAAAGTATTTATTAGTGACACTTTTCAAGTATTTGTGATGGTTTATAAGAGTTACTAAAAGATACTTTCAAAGAAGGTAATGGAAAAACTTTTCTAAGAATATCTGTTTTAGTGACACTATTCAAAAACTCTCTCTAAAAGTATCCTTTAATTGCACTTACAAAATCTTCTCTAAGGGTGCGTTTGGTTTGGCGGAATGGAATGGATTTGGGAGGATTTGGATTTAAAATCCATTCCATTCCCATGTTTGGTTTGCTAAATGGGCTGGATTTTAAATCCCGTGTAGTTTTTAAAATCCCGTAAACAAGGGATTTTGAAATCCATAGTAAATGGGTTGGATTTTGAAATCCAAATCCGGGCTCCTCTTCCACGTTACTTGACCTTCTCGCACTTTCCCCATCTGTCGCCGGTCTCCGTCATCTCCCCACCTCTCGTCGCTTTCCCCACTGCTCTCGCCGGTCTCCTCCAACTCCCCACTGCTCTCGCCGGAGATAACCTCCAACTCCCCACTGCTCTCGCCGGTTCTCTCCTCCTCTCTGCTCTTCGTCCCGCTTGAACCGGTGCTCATCCTCTTCGCCTCTTCGTCTCGCTTGAGCAGGTAATAAGACTTCCCTTTCCAATCTATATACTTGGTGGTTGTAGCTTGAATCTTTGAAGTAAGAGGCTAGAAAGAAATTTTAGAAGAAAAACTAGAGATAGCTGCAGTGTTTTAGCATTTGCAATGATACTGTTTGCACCAGGCAAGCTTGGAAAGTTTGTGAAATGAGATTCTTTTGGCTTGTTGATATATTTTTTGACCATATTGCTAACAAGGATTTTTCTTCTACGAGTTTGTTCACATAGTATGCATCAATAATTGAAACAAAATAAACAACGTCCTTGATACTTTTTATGTCACTGTTGTTTTACTCACTTCAAATGGGTATAAAGACCTTACTCCCGATAGCGATATCGCAATACTATTTGCCACTTTCTTCGCCCTCACGGGTGTAGTCGTTTTCGGGGCACTAATAATGAGTCTCGGTGCAAAAATCTTCTTAGACAGCCAACTGAATCTAAGGATGATACTTGAGAAATTGAAGCAGGATCCAGAGTTGTCATATTTGAGACTAACTAAAATAATTGATGTTTTCTTCAGAGGCTTGACCTAGATAAAGAATTACCCTGAATCAGAAACTCACAGGCTCTGGTTGAAGCGGCTGTACTATTGCCTGATATGGAACAGTAATCTGTTGATACCAGATAATTCTTACAAACGATCATCCAATAATATAGGATCTGACTAGAAATATCAATTGTTACCCTTCTACCATCAATCATCCTATACATATGTAACATATAACTAAAGAAAGTATAACAAACTCAATTTACAAATTTTAACACCAGTAGCAAGAAGTATAATAGATAGTCTATAACTTCCATTATAGTTGATATAAATGCTTAGATTCTCACACGATGTCAGTTACATATTCTCTGTGGTGCCTAATAGTTGATGGCCTATTCTTTGGTTCACAAGCAGTTACCTTCTTTCAAGTTATTGACTAATTGAAATCTCAGCCTTGACTTTAGCTTGTTAATTTGGATGACAATCGGAGGATAGGATGTAATTGATATTAGTCTAGCTTATTAGGTAATTGATGAACTTTTTGTTGAGATATACTAGTAAAAAAACATGGGATGCTTCTGCTATTAAAGTTTGCAAGGTTAAAGTCATCCTAGAGATTGCATGTTGTCAAAATGAACGTAAAGGGAAAAATGTAAAATTCTTCACTTCAAAACAAGATGCTTGAATATAAATAAAGCAAGTAATTTTACCTTGAACTTTTGTCAACCAAACTAAATCTCATCGCTCATTGCAATGGTGAAGCAATTAATTTTAGCTTATGATTCTTTACAAAAGGGTAGTTGTTGTTGTGCTGATGCTGTTAACTTGCATTTCTTTT